CTCAGGCCCTTGCGCTTGCCAGGGAAGTGCTTATTCCACTGACCCTTCTCCCTGGCCTCTGCGGTTCTTGATATATGTCACAAAAGGCAAATCTTGTTCTGAATTTAATTTTTGTATTAGAAATTGTGCTTCCTTTATATGAGAGATCCATCTGCAGTTCTTTTTTATTTAACCCATGCTGTCCTCTGTCTCCAGATAGTTATTTCCTTTTGTTCAGTTGCCCTTAACCATTTGTAATGTTTTTGTCTTTTTTGGGAGGAATTTGGTCACAAGTTCTTTAAAGAGCCAAATCAAAGCTCTGAAGCCTTTTCCCAGAAAAAGTGTCTTAGATATCTCCTAAAGGTATTTCTGAACTCCCAAGTAAAACACTTCTGTTGAAATCTGAAGATAGCACATGACATATGCCCTTTGTTGAAATGAAAACAGGGTCAAGTGTTTTGGGGTGATTTTTAAAAAGTAAACTGTGCATTTAAACTTGCTTTAATGTGCTAGCAGTAACCTTAGGAAAAAATTTTATGGTGAAAATTATCACTCTTCTGTTGTGATAGCAGAAAAGACAAAAGGCCAAAAGATCAAAGTAAAAATCACCTTAGGTAGCCCTAGTTGATGATGCCAAGGTATTTGGGCCATTCTTGAACTTGGTCCCCAGTGCCTGGTGCCTGGTAGGACTGTTCAGTAGTTAGATTGTTTCATGACTAGAGAGGAACATGTACTTAACTAGTATGTAAGTTAAAGCCTGGAAATTCCTTTCCTTTCTCAGAACAAAGTTGATTTCCTTACATTGTTGCAGCTTAGGGCTGGTGGGATAGTTCTGCTGTTTTAGTTCAGGATCCTCTGCTAGAGGCTTCAGAGAGATCATGGCTTTACATCTTCTTCTGGCTTTTATTCTCTGGAACTATAAACAATAAATTTGTGATATTTTTTAAGTCATCCAGTTTGTGGTACTTTGTTATGTGGCCATAGGAAACCAATATATACACATAAGCTTTGTTTATCCAAAAAATGAGAGTGTTGAAATTCAGCCTATTTTTCTTTAGAAAATTTCAATGGAAAATGCAGTGGTTTGGATTTTTTGTGTTTCCAGTACTAGGGATTGAACCCCCATGGCCTTCTCACATTTTCTTAGAAGTATAAGCATAGCTCTAACCTATGGAAGTTCCAACCCTAAATACTTGTCCAAGAGAATTGAAAGTAAATGTTCACAGGGTGACTTGTACAAGAATGTTCACAGAGCTTTATATCCCAATCTAGAATGACCAAAGTTTCTTTCCACTGGTGGGAGAACAAACCAAAATATGCTGCTCAGAACAAACAGAAAAAAAAAAACAAAACATAATTGTATCTAACAGTGTGATAAATCTCAGAATCATTGTTCTAAGAAGGAAAAAAGGCTTTAATCCTGAGAAGAATGTCATATATGTTTCTACTATATGAAATTGTAAAGCAGAAAATTTTCTATGCCTGGAAAGAAAATTACAACAGTATTGCATTTATAGGATAAAGCAGAGATTTACTGGGAAAAGGCTCAAGAGAATTTTCGAGGGTTTAATAATATTCTATCTTGATCAGTATTGGATTATGTATGTTTGAATTTACCAAAATTAAGCAAATATTCGTTTAAGATCTTTGTTCAATTCATTGTAAGTTGTGCAAAGAAAAAATGTAAGCCAGTATTGTACTCCAGTTAATAATATATCTGCAGATGAATTTGGGGAAATGTGCAGATGTTTGCCAATGGTATTGCAACTCATGAAAAATTAGGTGAATTGATAGATTTGTAAAGGCCTGGATGGATAGGGGAATTGCAAACTACTGAATTAATGGACTATATAGGTGGTAGTGACATAGATGTCAAGTTCTTTAAGATAATTTAAACATGCAGAGAAATTTCACTAAGAATTTTCTTTCTTTTTTTGTATTTTTCAATTTTTCCCATATAAACTCTCCACTAAGTTATTTGTTTCTTTACTTTCAGTAGAATTAATTATGTGTGTGCTTTCTTTAGAAATGCAGATGAGATCAAGCCGATCAGACACTGATATAGCCCTAGTATTTGTGCTGACCACAGGAGTCTTTTTCTGTATATTCATAATCTTCATATTGATCTTCATAATTATAAATTGGTAGGTGAATGGCTAGGTTGCATTGTCACTTTTGATGTCCTCTTTCTGATTCCCTCCCTCATTCAATGAATTTGCAAAACACTGGCCATAATGTCTCCTAATGTGTCTTAAGCTGTCTGACTCCCTTCATTGCTCCTGTGACTTCCAAGTTTGGGCTTCCCATCTTTTTCCCCCTGTTTCTTCCTTTCTGTCTTTCCCTCCCTCCTTTCCTCCCTCCCTTCCTTCTTTCCTTCCTTCCTTTTTCTTCGTTTCCTTCCCTTTCTTCTTTCCTCCCCTCCCATGTTCTCCCCTCCCCTTTCCTTCTTTTCCCTTTCCTTGCCTGCCTGCTTGCCTGCCTGTCTTTGTTGTCTATCTGTGATGGTACTAAAGATACCATCAGGGCCTTTATACTAAGCTACATCCTAGGCCCCATTTTGAATGTAATTTAATATTTTTTGAAACAGGGTCTTGCTAAATCACTAAGTTGTCTGGACTGGGTTTGAGTTTGTAATCTTCCTGCCTCAATCTCGCAAAGTACTGGGATTATAAGCGTGTGTCACCACACCTAGTGATGTTTTTTAAAACAAGCTCATGGCTTTGGAGAGCTTTTAAGTGAAATTTTTACAATTCTACAAACCCATTGCTAAAATAAAAAGTCATTTATTAAATAGATATTCGTGTTGTGCAATTGTAGTTTTCACAATGAAAAAATTTGACTATTGAAATATATCAGTTGGTTTTTATGAAAATAAAATGTTTCTGAGAATAACACCTTGGTAAGTCTGGGGACTCATTTACTATCACAATGAAACAGATATATCAAACTAAAATAGGATTGTGGTTAAAAGGCAAAAATATATATAGGGTAAATATAAATCTCATTAGTTCTGCTTTATTTCATTTTTCCCCCAGGGTGGCAGTGAAAGCTTTCTGGGCAGACAAGGTGTCTACAACTGAAATTCATTCTGAAATAAGTTCTATGAAATACAAAGATTCAGCTTCTCTTGACCAGGCACCAACAGAAGTACCCAGACCGGAAGAGGAGGCATTAAGTGAATGGCATGAAGAGGCCCCCATACCTGTGGGGGATGAAAGCTGAAGCAAAGAATAGTAGAGCTATCAGATTCATTATTGTAAAAATAAAATATTTACTGAAATGCTTTAATAATGTTGTGATAAATTTGCCACAGGCTGGAGATACGCATTGCGAAGGGGAGGTTGTTTTAATCAGTGCATCTTTGTGGCAGTTATCAAAAATTTCTTTTAATTTGTTCTCAACATTTACCATTTAAGGCAGTAGCTTGGAGGCATTTATATAAAGGTAGATACAAATATTTTATCATGTCTAAGGCCATTTGCCTCTTCTGTTTTCAAATAATTTTCAAGGAAAATTAATTCAAAAGGTCCCTTGGCATTAGACTCTCTCCCTTCCATGAGCACTGGATCAAACTAGTTAAAACAGATTGCACTTTAGATCCTCTGCAGGCATACGGCATACAAAGCATCATTTGTAAGACATGAAATAGTAACAGTAACAAAGACTTAGTGACCACTATGTCGTAAGCATTGCTAAAATAATTTCATTTGTATTATTTTATTTAATTATAGTTGTGTAAAGGAAATATATAAGGTAGAACTGAAGACAAACTTGGAGGTGGCTGAGGAAATAACAAAATTAACAGCGTGTATTTCTCTCAGAAACTGAATTAAAAACTCTTGAATGACCTTTGATAAGCACATTTATTGTGCTTAGTATGCAGGTGATGACATCTTAGAACCTGAACTTATTTCTGAGCATTATCATCTTTTGATGTCATTGTTATGTGATAACTTATGACCAACTATTAAACAGGATGCCAAGACAGATAATTTGATTCAGTAGACTTATCAGAATTCATTTTCGGAGGTTATAATAGTGGAACAAAAATACATATTTTATGTTTATAAGAGTCCTTTGTTGCTATTATGAAAATTATCTGATTAATTCTCTGTATAACTGTGCAGATGATACTGTAACTGGGCATTTATGATATAACATCTCCAGCATCTAGAAATAGGTGGTCTTATGAAATTATCCATGTTTTCTATTATATAACATTTGTATTTGAGAGAAGCAGTGAAGAACTGACTGGAAAATCATTTTCTTGTCTGTTGTGGGAAATTCACTCGAGACTGTAAGTGAAAAGAAATTGTCTTCATAAAACCTTCCAAAAAGCATCCTCCAATAAATATTTTTATGAAACAGCCTTCCAATTCTTCCTGAGTATGATCATGTAACTTTAGTAACAGATGCTAAAAATTCTTGAGCAGTAACTATCAATACTTGCTTTTAGGATCATGAACAATTGTTCCCAACTGTACTTTAGTGAACATTAGTGTTCAGTTGGGTTAGCAGGGTTAGTCTATCTTTAGTGTCACTCACATAGACTATTTCCGGCTGTCTACCTGCCAGGTACAGGGTAGGATAGTACTTTGTTAGACCCTTAGTATTGGGAAGAGCCATGTGCCTAGTTCTCGCCAATGAGTTATTACCCCAAATTTCAAAGTTATATGTGACTCTGAGGTGAAAAGGCTCATCTTCTCTCTGAAAGAGCAATCCAAATTCACAGATGGCAGCTGTCTGACTCTTGGCCTCTCAGAATAAGGACTGTGTAGCATGAGATCTCCAATCAATCATACAACATGAAGGAGAAACAGACCTTGTTATTTAAGCCTTGAGTTTAGAGGTTTGTGTGGAATGATATCCTTACCAAGATTATCCTGAATGATAATCTTTCCTTAAAAGTAAGTTTTCATGGTCAAATGAGTTGAAGAACTTCCTTTTTTTTTGGTGGAACCAGGGATTGAACTTGGGCCCTTGCATTTGCCAGGGAAGTGCTTATCCTACTGAGCCATCTCCCCAGCCCTGAAGAACTTTCTTTACCATAGGACTTGTCAAAATCATCAGTGTATTACACACCTTTTGACTTTGCAAGAAGAAGGGTATAAATTGGATATTTTTCAAACTTACTGGTATCTGGGCACGAAAAGGAAACCACACTTACATGTTAATAGTATACACTTTTGAGCAGGACTATTCCTGATAGGGTCTGCTTATGAAAAGCCAAGGTTCAGAGAGCTAACCTTTCATGGTGTGTATCACACAGCAAATCAATGCACTTCAACAATAGTAGAACTTCCCTTAGATCTGTAAGTGTAACTAGTTATTCTGCTGTAGTCCTACCTTGGCCTTTCCATTCTACTCCCAAGAATGGCCTCGCAAGAGATGTGGCACTATGATTATATTACATTATAATAATCAGCACACCTTATTTGCAAAGCAAATTCTATGATGTTCCAGGCCTCTATGAAATCACTCCAGGATCATGAAGAGGTCTGATATTTGCCACTTGCTTGGGAGATCTGCCTTGCCATGGGCCGCAAGGTTTTCACTGTACACAACTAAATGTTAAAGAGTCACTTGCCTCCTCAGCCTGAACAAGCAAGAGAGGCATCATCTAACTCCTAGGGGCTCCTAAATTCCAGGCTGATATTTTTTTCTGGTTACTTTTCTGAGCCCCAGAATATTCTCAGGAAAATACATTCAGTCAGTAATGTACAGGGAATGATTCAAAACAACGGTGTTTTTAAAATTACAGTAAAAGACATGGCCATGAATCCCCTTCACAACACTCTTTTTTGCTTGGAGCACATTTTTTTCCATCCTTGCCACTTTCTGAAGTAGTGCTGAAAGTTCTTTCATTAGCATCTTTAAGAGGCATGAAAAAAATATGGTGAATGTGGCTACTGAATGCCATCCAGTATAAAGACAGGCTCATAAAAACATTATGCTATGTCCATATTATGGTTGTGTCTAGATGCATCCTACCCCTTAAAGCCACATGCGGTCATGGGTTTTGTCAGAGGTGGCTAAATTTAGAGTGTGTGATGGTGGGATTAAGGATGTGAGCGCTCTACCTGGCCTAGGGTAGTAACCTGCATACAGTACAAAGGACAGAAAAAGTCTTATCACCTCCCTTGTTGCTTTTGCTTCTGTGTGGGTGCCATGAACTGTTCTCTGCCAAGCTACCCTGCCTTGAAACCAGTCAATAATAGACTGGAAGACTGGAACTTCTGCAAACTGGGAGCTAAAAAAGTTTCTCTTTTAACTTTGAATGTTGGTACTTTGTCTCAGCAGTGAGAAGAGTAAGTCCTCAGTAACCTTGCTTACCAGATTTGGTACCATGCAGCTTCTAGCTCTTCCTCAAAGTCACAATGACCATGAAAGATAAATGTTTTGAATTAATTCAGAACATCAAGAGAGTCACAGCACTGCAACTAAAAGAGAACTGAAACAAAAGAGAACTTCCAGAACCACTATAGAAAGTGGCAAGGACAACAGCTTGTGTTCAAAGCAAGGGTGCAATGCTGTGAGGGGGATTAGTTGCACTGTGTCTTCTACACTTCAAAAATTTAGACACTATTTTTCATTCATGCCTCATACCAAAAGCAGATTTCCCTTTTGGACATCAAGTCATTGTGGGCAGTGGGATTTTATAAATTGTCTTGACTAACACCTTAATCACTAAGAAAATCCTTCATTTAGTCTTTCAACAAATACTGAGTTATTCCTATGGCCAGGTATTGGCACTGGGAACACAAGTAAGAAAAGAAGAAAATAAAAAATAATAGGATTTCTCTCTTCTTGGGCCTTATTGTTTACCTAAGACCTAGATATTACAGCTAGCCACAACTAGGAAAGGGAAGGAAACCTCAAGTTTTTCTGTGTAGGGAGGAAATTGCATGTAAAAGAGACCTAAGTCTAAATAGGAGTTAACTCTGGTTAAAGGGGGAAGAGAGGGTCAAGCAAAAGATGAAAAAACAGAAAGAATAGAGCACAGTGAATCTTGAGCGAAAACTAGCAGAGCTAGATGATAGAGGAAGGCAAGGAGAGTGCTGGAAGATGAGGCAGAGTAAAAATACGTATTTACGCATATATATTATGCAAATCGTAACTATCATATGCTGCTTATTATGATTCTCAAGCCATTTAGTTATATTATTTTGTAAGTGACCCAAGACAAGGTCAATATTGAAGCGGGCACTCCTAAATATTTTGCTACACTGTATTTGTTCATACCTCCTGGAGTTCATTTATTACTAGCCTTTGACAAACTATTGCTTCTCATCTAAATAGGGTAGTCTGTGCTTTAATTTTGGTTCTTTTGAGTCCTAGTGGGACAATGAGGTCTTACGAGAACTTCTCTTTGACTGGTTTCTAATTCACATGTTATACACTTAAAACTAGATAAGGAGATGTAAGAGTTCTTTACAGTGACTTCGGTTGGTAGGCATATGTCTTGCCAACAGCAGTTGACAGAGTGGTTGACAGGCTAGTTTTTTCCCATTTGGTATATGACATGGAATGAAGCAGTTCATATTACCTTGTTGAAGCACCTATGTTCCTTTTGTTAACATAAGTATAATGTTTAAATGTTTTCTTTCTGGAGTGATTTTTAACATAATCCATATGTTCTGTTTCTGTCTTCTGGAGCTTTTAAAAATTTACACAGTTTTTCTTTTTCTTTTTTCTTTCTTTCTTTCTTTCTTTCTTTCTTTCTTTCTTTTTTTTTTTTTTTTTGTTCTTTTGGGAAAATACACAGAAGGGGAATAGCTGGATTGAATGCGATTTCCAGTCATAGATTTTTTTTTTTTTTTGTATTTTGGGGAGGGGTCTACAGGGTGTTCAGGATCTTACGACTAGATCAGACTCATGGTGATTTGCCTATTTACAGCCTCCCAAGAGCTGAGATTACAGGCATGAACCACCACACCCAGTTTCAATTGCCACCTCAGCGCACCCCAGGGGCAGGGCTGGCACAGCAGGCCCAGGGATTGAACCTCAGGCCCCTGTGCCTGCATGCAAGCACTTTAATGTGCTGAGCTATTTGGCTGGCCAAGTTTTCTATTTTGATTCCATTTTATATTCCTGCTTCTTCAGTCATTTTTGTTATAATCTGGAGGACATTTATCATAGAATTCATAACCCATTAGTGTTGTGCTCCACTGCCTGTGTCAGAAATCATTTAACCCATTTATATGGTTATTTAGGCTTTTAGGTTAATGCAATTT